AGTGAGGCGAAACACTATACTTTATGTCGAGGAAAAAAGGTTTCAAGTGGTGGTAGTTACTTATCATTTATGATTGTCAAAAGCAAAAGAGCTGGTGAGAGTTTCTAGTAAGAATGACTCTAATAAGAAATTTTGCTTTTTTCTGGGGTATGCAAAACAAGATTACATGAACTAATGGAAAAGGACAATTTTTAGGGTTGTTGAAAACCAAAATGGTGAGAGTCCAAATTTCATCAGTGCTCTCTTACTTATTCTCAAAAATAAAAGTGAATCTGACTCCAAACCAAATGCCGTTGGGGGCTCATTAATGCTTTGCCCAACACTGATAACTAAAATCCATCATTTAGCTGAAAACGTTGGCTCTCATAGATCAAGACACTGGAGACTAAAACATTAAAATTTGAATTTGAAATGTTACTATCACATTCTGCAAGACCATGTTCTATACATCTGTCTTGTCAGTCATCAGCTGGCATGTTGCTTCCTGACAGCTACAGAAATGTGTTTCCCTCCATCCCGAGACCCTCCCACTGTGATGAAATTACCTGGCTAGAGTCTCCATGACCAGAGCAGTGACATAACGCAGACCTCACCTCCTACACATCCTCAGTGCACCTTCAACATATTCAGTGGCACCACACAATTGAAAACACAAAACTGAACAAACAAGGCCCCGCTGGGATTCGAACCCAGGATCTCCTGTTTACTAGACAGGCGCTTTGACCAGCTAAGCCACAGGGCCCCTCCTGGGTGTGTGTTCAGTTATATCATATTTATAATTTTTATGCGAAATGTAGCAATTTGCCAGAAGCTTACTTGATTTGTGGCAAGTAAGTACATCTGTGTTTTTAAACTCCTACCAGAGCAGAAACTTCAACAATTTAAAAATACTTCCTTCAAAGCAAGGTTTTAGAATTGATTTTAAATTGCAAGAAAGGAAATTCCTATTCCTTGGTGTTTATCTCCCCCTAGAGGACATATTAGATATTGCAACACATTTTACATTGCTGTCTCTTCACTCATTTTGTACACAAATGTTGAGCCGCTGCTGTGTTTCAGGGAACTTTCTAGGAATGGGAGACTGAACAGTGAACAAAACAGCCAAAATCTTCCATTGTAGAATTCTTATTCCAGAGGGAGATAAAATGCAAATTTGAAAATTTGCTAAAACCCCCCAACAACCAAGCCGGGAATGTAAGAACCAGTCTTTCTACCACAATAGGTGACAGCCGGCACAGCTTCCGGAGCTAAGTTGCCACAGCTTAGGAAAGCCAGCCTGCTCCCGTCCACCTTCTCTTACCTGGCACAAGAAAACTGGCCGACGGACTCCTCATGAGATCCGCAGTCGCCCTGCTTCACACTTCCCCAAAGCAGGCACGGAGACAGCCTGGGTCCTGTCCTTGCAGACCGCAAAAGTGAGAAGAGACAGAGACGTGCAATTAGGGTACAGTGTGCGAGCGGGGTGCCGTGACTCGGGGGTCTGGGCAGGGCCACAGGCTTCTCCCAGGTTCCACGTCTGTCTGAGGAGTTCGGAGGGCTTGGGGCCAGTTCCCCTGACCCAGCTCAGTGTGTGTGGGTGGGGACCAGCACCCCCAGGGGTTTCGACAACTGCCTTGTGCTTCCCAGGAAAGGACAGGGGACCCTGCTGTCACCGAGCACCCACATCCTGCAAGGGCCTGGTGCTCAGAGGACATCCCTCGGGGAGCAGATCCCTGGCAGACTGGCCTCCCTCCAGCTGCCTCCCGGGTTTTCTCTAGGCCAGCCTGCACCGGGCCCTCTCACAGCACCCCCAGGGTGTCCCCACGTCCTGCTGCTGTTCCTTTCCTTACACAATTTCTCTAGCTTGTCAGTTGTGCACTGGTTTGAGCATAAGTTCTGTGAAGTCAGCCTTTGGTTTGGGGCGTACTCATTACGAATTTGCCAGGTGGCAGACGGCGTGTCTTGTGCCTCTTATGCAGCAGGCATTTAAGAGCCGTCAGTTGCTGGTGCACACCTGGTACCTCCATATCATCCCACCTGTCGGGGATGGGCCCACAGTTGTCTCCACTGCCTGCCACCCCCAACAAGGCCGCCTGGGCCCTGCTCACCAGGGGCAGGGGCTGGTGTGTCCAGTTCATTCCTCGGTAGGTCTGGATCCCCACCTGGATCCCAGCATGTGGCCCCCATAGCCCTGCCACCCCCATCATCCAGCCACTTTGGAATCTGGTATGTGTAGAGTGAAAAGTCTTGTAATTAAAACAAAAAAATTACTTTTATCTTCTGAGAGAGAACATTCACAGGGTCTTTACCCTGCGATCCACTTTGGCCTCCACCAGTTCAGAGCACCAGCCACACGTCCCAGAACTCACAAGACTCTGGACTCCAGCCCTGACCCTCCCACCAGAATTCAGGATTGTCGTTGTCGTTAAGAGAGATTTTGCTACAGGGGGCATGCACTTGCTGAGAAACAGAAACAGAAAGCGAGAAATCACCTCCCAGAGAGTTGGCCACGCCACAATTCCTTCCCTTCCATTCTCTTGGGATTTTGGGCAGGCACACACACATGCCTGGTGTGTTTTAAGCTGCTGGGTCTGGGATTTGAACCTCAATCAACTATGTGGGAGCCCAGCAAAGTAGCCATTACGCCATCTGCTGGTTCCAAGAGTATGTTTTATTATTGTTATTTTTTTAGGCTTTCCATAGGGCACATGCATGTACCAGAGAGAGACAGAGAAAGATTGGGAGAGGGGAAGTGAGAAATCATCCCCCCCGCACCCCCCGTGGGATGGCTACGTCAAAAATTCCTTCTCTTCCATTTTCCTGTGGGGATTTTGGGCATGTCTGCAAACGTGCTGGCCATGACTTCTAAGCTGCTAGGTCTGGGACTCACACAGTGACTCGCCATGTGGAGATGCAGCACCTTAACCACCATGCCACGTGCTAGCCCCTTAGGAGTGTATTTTAACAAGTATGCATTTTATGTGGTCCCCATTTCAGGAGAAGTCATTTTATTTAGTTAGCTCAGGTCATTCACTTAAAATAGGAAACACTATTTGAGTAACTAGTCTAGTTCTTCATTTGGTTACCTGTCAGTGCAGAGGGATCAGCCTTATGCCCTGTAGTTTTTCCCACCCATGTTTCTACTCCCCTTAGACCATAGCCCATGGGACCAGGTGGCTAAGAGAGGTGGTTACACGTAGAATCTGGGTTGGACCCAGGTGTGTAGCTTTATCTCCTAAACACGGAGACTCTCGCTGGAGAGCGCCATGCGGCCTTTCCTAGTTAGGATCAGAACAGTGCCTGCCTTAGGGTTGTGAGAAGTCAGCGACAGTCAAGTTACTTGGGTTGCCCGTAGTGGGTGGTACTATGTCGTCCACGTTCACTGTGTTTACTCTCCTCTCCTTTGAGCTTCAAATATTCATGAAGCTTCCACACTATGGGCAAGGCTGAATTATATTGTGGTACCAGAAATGTGAAGAGACAGACATGATGGGCCTGGAGGGGGCAGAGACCGGGGCAGAGCGCCTCACACTTTTCCGCAAAGCGTCTCACACTTTTCCGCAAGTTTTCTATCACCTTCCTTCCACATGCAGTGACTGGGACTTCTAAACTTACCAGATTACAAATAAGGACCTGTAGAAAGTCTGCAACAAAACCAAACCAAACCAAACCAAAAAACCTCTGAGTTCTTTTATGAAAGTAAAACAGCAGTAACAGCTGAGTGTGCTTACGTCGGTCCCGCAGCTTGCCCGCCGACATACCCATCTGTGTAGGTCACACTGCCCATCTCCTTCCAGGACAGACCTGCTGCCCGACTGCTGTGCACAGGGAGGTTCGCACCAGCTGGCTGCACCTGTGCCTGCCTGTGACTGCAGAGTCCCCACCCTGGCCTCACCCTTCCTCAGGCCTGTCCTCACACAGCCCTGGTGAGGCAGGGACGGAAAGGCTGTTCCAGAGCCCTTCTGGCCCAACGTGGGGCTTGTCACAGCTGGTCCTGGCTCAGGTTCCGTGGCTGGTGGAGCGTGTGTGTCTGCATCAGTCTGATGTCTCTCTGTCCAACCCTAGTCCTGCTGCCTCCCTTCACGGGTGTCGATCCCTAATAAACATCTTTGTATCCCAAACTCTGTCTCAGCACCTGCTTACAGAGAACCCAGCATGTGTCACTCTATCACCGCAACTTTTCTCCCTGGATCTCTTACATGTTACTATAATTTTAACAGGGCTTCCGCACACACTTCATAGTGGATTAAACAATGTACTGAACTAAACCATGGTCGCACCATGAGCTGCCTGTGTTTCTCTTGTTCAGTACAGAGGTCTCGGATCGTGCAACACTTTTGTCACAGCTTGTCGGCGTCCGCCCCAGGGCTTGGGTCTGGCTGAATCATGATCAGAGGGCTGCTGGTGAGGAAGAGAAAGAGGACAAGAAAGAGAAAGCCCTCCATCTTGCCAGGACCTGGGAACTGGAAAGAACGAGACAAAGGGATAGAGTAGAAATGGACACAGGCAGCCTGAGCCTAGGTAGCCCAAGCAACTTGTGCCACCCAGATGAACTGGACGTCTTTATTTATAGTACAAGGAGACATTACACATGTGTGTTTCATGACACTTCATGGATTAGTTGTCAGGTTACAGACAATAAGAAGCCGTTAACAAATCTATAAGGGATTAGTCACACCCAAGGCAAGGTGTATCCCTTGGTGGTAATCCCATCTAGAGTAAATCTCATCTTCCTTTCTAATGCAGAGAACTAGCTGTTAGGTGTGGGGAAGGAGCTAAAGAACTTCTCCATAAGGAGTGCGCCACCACACCCAGAGTAGGCTAAAAAAACTTTCAGATGCAGAGCAGGGATTGGATTTTACTATTTGGGGTCAAGATGTTTCTTGAAGTCCATCAGATGTGTCTGTTGGAACGCCCCTAGTAATTTCCACCCTTGCTCTGTCTGCAGCCAAGGTCAGGGAAAGACAAGTTACAAGGTTCTGCCTAACCCCAAAAGAGCATGTGGTGTTTGCTCAGCGCATGTCCCCACAACAGCTCACTCTCCCTGGGGTGCAAATGCATGTGTCCCAAGGAAACAAACCCAAGGGTTTATCAATATTGAATCCAGAGTCCTGCATCTGCAGGAAAACCCTAGTTGCTGCCTTTGTACTGAAAGCCCAAGGAAAAGGAAAACCGTCACTGAAAAAGCATATCCTCGCTGGTGATAGTGGACTCGAGCCATTCATTCCTGGACTCCATACGTTTTACTTAAACCGCTTTCAAAGGGTGACCTGCGAGATCCAGTGACAGCTGCAGACCAGGACTGGGCTCGAGTTTTACGCTTGGCCTCATCCCTTAGTCCCGCTGAGCAAACCGCTGCCCTGCACGCCAGCCCACCACACCTCGGGGCCTTCCAGTCTTTACGTCTGAAAACCGCTTCTGGAGCTGCCGCTCCATTCCAAGAAATGCTCTAAAAGAACACTGGAACTCTGCAAACAGCGACACGTGCCAGCTTTTTCAAGACAGTTTAGGTGGCTCTGAAAAGAGCCTTTGTTAACCGGAATTTTTAATCTCGCTCCTTATTTGGCCTTGTGGTGGCTCTCAGTCTTCTTGGGCAGCAGCACGGCCTGGATGTTGGGCAGGACGCCGCCCTGCGCGATCGTCACCTTGCCCAGCAGCTTGTTGAGCTCCTCGTCGTTGCGGATGGCCAGCTGCAGGTGGCGCGGGATGATGCGCGTCTTCTTGTTGTCGCGCGCCGCGTTGCCCGCCAGCTCCAGGATCTCGGCCGTCAGGTACTCCAGCACGGCCGCCAGGTAGACCGGCGCGCCGGCCCCGCCCCGCTCGGCGTAGTTGCCCTTGCGCAGCAGGCGGTGCACGCGGCCCACCGGGAACTGCAGCCCGGCCCTGGGAGAGCGGGACTTGGCCTTGGCCCGCGCCTTGCCG